CCCCCCCCCCCCCCCCCTTAAAAAGAAAAGAAAATAGAAAAGTGTGAAGTTTGTTTTGGAACGCTCCAATTGGTTTTGGCAGAGCCAAAAAATGCAGGTGGTTAAAATAATTGACCTCTATCTCCATTTACATGTGTTATGCGCTCATGCCAGGAGTAGAGGTAAAGTGTGCGTATATTTTGCTCCTCAAACCTTGTTATACTTTGTCTTGTTTGGAACCACTTGGAGTTTGGGTTGCGTAACGCAACCAAATTAAGGCGTTAGGCTGGTGTAGCCATGTGGGGGCCACCACTCAGTCACCCAAGTAGACTGAGTTCTCTAATGCATATTTCAATGTATGTGCTTTGATTCAAGCATTCCATGAAGATCAAACCTCCCCCACCCACTTGGGCCAACAAAAAACTTATTCCTCATCATTTCTCTGTTGTGACACTTTTTTTTCTTTTCTTGCAGGGGTCTATGAGAGGAAATGAAAAAAGATCCTATCTGCACTGATGGTGAGAGTCAAACACTAATTTGCTTGCAGGTTTCAAGGATGGTTTATGAGTAGTTTATGATGCAAAACAGTGGGGAAAAGAAATGTATGTCATCAAATTTGTAATTTGTCATATCCTCAAAAACCTATATGGGTTAAGATGCTGCATTTCTAGCATTTAACCTTGAGTATTTTCCTAAACCTCAAGGGTACAATGTTTTTCTTGATTCTTTTGAGTAAATTTTGATTGGTTAATAATAATCTCCTTTATAATAAGTATTTGCTAGGAATAATCCCACTTCTCAAAGTAGTTAACACAAGATGCATCCTAGTTTTGTTAGCTTAATATTAACCACCAATTTCATACACTACATTTCATGCAACTTGAGTGTCAATTCTTATAGTTTGTATATTGGATCTGTGTATGCAATTACTTAGTTTCAAAATGATTTTATTATTTCTTTGTGTGATTTATATCATTTCTCTCCACTTTACATATACTTCATTATTTTACGGAGGAAAATTTTGGGTCATTTTTAGTATGAATTTAAAACTGGGAGTATTATTCAATGTGCTTAAAAAAAATCTTAATGATTTTTTACACCAAATCTAGTTGTACTTACCCTAATACACAGCATCACCTAACAGTCCTAATATCACACTATTGATTGTTCTATTATTTAACCACTTTAGTTTGAGTTTTGTTTACACTGGCGTATTTTTGAATAATACTCATGCCAGTTGGTTATTTGGTGTAAATAAGTAAAGAATATGTTCAAGCAAATATTTTTCTTTGGGACGGCTAGATTATTTGTTTCAAACAAATCGAACATGAATCCTCGAAAAAGGTTAGAGCATCATCGACTCTCTTGATTTATAACTTTAGAATTCATACTATTCATCCCAATACAAATTTTCAATCACTCTACAAAGGATAAAATTTAATCAGCGCAGAACCTTTTAAATGAATCGGCATATACAAAATACAACTGTTTTAAATCATTAATTGTGCTTATAATTTAAAATTTTAGATTTTTACTATTTAATTAATACACTTCATCTTTCTCAAAATAAAGTTCACACTTCTCTTTTTTAAATGTTTCAAAATAATTTTTATTATTTTTATTACTTTTGCACGGAGCATTAAAGAAATGTGTGGTTCACTACATTTCTCTTGTTCTCAAACCTGTTTTAAGTATACACTTTTCTTAAACTCTACAAAATCAGGACAAAAGCATCATTTTGGAATGATTGAGTATAAGTTCTAGTCAATTTTGCAAAATGCAGAAAGAGTTTCATTTTATCAAACATCACTCTTTATTTAACACAAGAGAAAGAGTTGAAGTATTTCATTATTTCATACATATACCAAAAATAGAAATGAGACTTTTATGACACCAATTATATAATACCCACACACACATGCCATAGAAATTCAATCCAAAAAGAGAAAATCAGCAGCGAAATTATTTGTTTTTATTCATCACGAGTTCACTGGAGCTAAACCTGCCTGAATACTACCATCAAACATGTGTTTCCTTATTTGAAAATGATGATGCTACAGGCTGTAGAGATACATCTCAATGATGTATATAAGCTTAAGTGCTAGAACAACACTAATGTCTACCTACCAATATGGAAAAAGAATGAAGCAATGGGAATCCAATTTGGGCGGGCGTATGTACAGAGAAATAAACCGCCTATTACGGTACAATGGGAGTCCGGGGGGGGGGGGGGGGGGGGGG